ATCGGCCGATGACTCTTGAGTCCCCGAAGGCGAAACTATACTTCTCCTGTTCTATGTGGCCATATACTAGCGACGACTTATCTTTGCGATTGACTGCAGGCTGGTGTTCATGCAATCTTTGCAAGGGCGTTTACACGTTTCACCAACATATCTCGCGCAGCAGTTTTGGACGGGCACGCTTAAGACCACCGCTGATTGCTCCCTTGCCGGTAGTCGGTCGTCTTTAGGTCTCATTACCCGCTGTCGGATAGTCGAATCCGACTCAGTTACCCGTATTCCCAACAGGCGCTGTCACCTCCTAAATGCTCTTGCGTAGGTGATCGCGGGCTGGTAAGGCAATTGCTCCACTAAGTGAACCAGGTGCTCATATTCAAGTAGGCAGTTATCCCATCTGTTCATCCTAGGTTCAAAAATTGGTTTTGTTTTAATAGACGGTTAATAGGAGTCAGAAACATGGATACGCTTTCCTCCTCTGGCGCTTAAATCGCGATAGGAATCATGTGATCACGGTTCACGAGTGGCCGGCACATGCTTACATTCAGCTTCGTGAACAGCAATTTACAAAGGCTTGCGAACTCTGCAATCGCCAATCAACTCAACAAATAAACACTGGCTGACTCTCACATGACTCCTATTCATTCACGCTCATAGTTCCCTATATGACGGAACCAGGCCTGTGCCCAGAGCCGGCTGTGTGACTTTATCGTGACCATTACAGAGTTTCTGTGCAGAATACCCACTTTCTACTTCTGTCGTTCTCTTTCTTATCCGAAAACGAATTGCTTTGACAGTACAGTGCAGTGCGAGAAAAGTCAGGGGATGATGAGAGGCGCTTGTACCTCAACATTTGCCAGTTTTTTCAAACCTTACCCAACCGCCATCTCCCTCCTCAATTACACAGGTTTTGGCGGTCAGTTGGACTTTCTGCGGGGCGCGGCAATGGGCACTGATGGGCTGGGAAAACCCATCCTTGCCATGGCGTCCACAACAAGCAAAGGCCAGTCAAAAATCGTGCCCGAGCTGGCTGAATGTGCCGGCGTCGTTACACCCTCGGACCATGTCCACTACTTGGTCACCGAGTACGGTATTGCAGAACTGTTTGGTCGAACGCAGCGTCAACGAGCGCACGCTCTCATCCAGGTGGCCCACCCGAAATTCCGGTGAGCGATAGCCTACTCAAATTTAGCACATATTTTTTACCTAACTTCTGACCTAGGATATTAAAAGTAACCAAATATAATACTTAGATTCATTAAAAAGAACCTTTCCTACCTGTGTGCTAGTATAATTGTTAATTTGTTCATGTTTTTACTTGCTAATTTTGCATGAAAAACATCTCCTTGTATGGAGCTTGAAATAGGGCAGTGTCTCCCACACATTTGTGTTCCCGAATAAATGAAAAGGTTCGCGTTCCAGGTATCTGCATGGATAAGGAAGAAGACTTGTCGAGCACCGGATCAAAGAATTTATTGTCCTGAGCTTTCGAACTCTTGCAGGAGTCCATCGTCAGAGGTGAAAAGTAGCAACAAAACAAGGGTAATTATAGTGGCCATTGGCCAATCAACTGTCAGAAATACTCAAGTTGTCAGGGCGTTAGAAACAGCTATCAACAGGGATGGGGGAGGGAGGCAATTAGCTGTCAGTGCAGTCGGGGGGCCATTATAGTGGTGTATGCTAATAAGCTGTCCGTGGAGCAGGGGGTCATGAACAACAATTAGTGTGACGCCTTGTTACCCGTTCGAGGGTCCTGGTAACCCCGGCCCCTCTTCTGCCTGGCCCGTCGGGGGATCTTCTTCGTTCGGTTTGGTCCTGTT